GACATTCAAACAAAAGGGAAGAATAGTCTGAAGATTTATTTAAGTTCAGAAGCTGTGGTCCCACACCAAGTCTGATTCAGTATGTGTGTGTGTGTACATGTGTGTTACATGTATATATTTTTATGGAGGGGAGGTTGTCTTTTTAGCTTTAAGAAGCATTGCATCTAGAACTGATAAAAAGTTAAGAGTCTCTGACCAAGGAACTGTAGTTTAAGCCACAATATTTGTATTTACAAAAGTTCGAAAATAACCAATCATGGGGGGGGGGCGGTGAGCATAATGGCTTATATTTCCCATCAGTTAGGTTGTTATGTGTTAATTAGAGTGGTAATATTAATCTGCTAATTAATTAAATCAGTTTCCTTCACTGGTAAGGAAACTGATGCAGTTTAAGTGATTTGCCAAGATTACAAAGTTGGTTGAGGTAGGACTCTTGAGTTTTAAACTTATGTCAAATCAGATGGCATCCTCTCAGAAGCTCCAAAAGTAAAAAGGTTTAGGAACAACATGAAGAAAAAATACTGACACACTTCCTGACCCAGTTCTAGGTCAAGTTTTTCTCAATTTTCTAATTCAAAATTCTACTAAGCAGGCAACTTTGGGTTAAAGAAAGGTTGAGATTTTCTACCTATAAGCACTGACTTTGGAAATCCATTGTGGAGAAGCTCTTAAGCCATGGTTTTACTATTGGAAAAAAAGAAAATCACATAGAAAAACATCACCACATATTTTCTCTAGCTGAGGATTTTGGCATTAACCAGGACAGACACAAACTGCCTGAGGTTTTTTTTTTTTTAAATTCACTTTTTAGATATAGCTGGGGCCTCGAAAAATGAAAAATCAGGGTGCCTCATAAAAATGTGTAAACATTGCTTATTTTTCAGGAGAACATACAGATGAATTCTTTGATTTTTAAAACTACTGGAATCCTGGTTCCTTGTCTGGTAGGATTTCATGTACCACATCACGAGGTGCTTTAGGGAAGATAAAGACTCTTTGACAGTGGAAAATAGCTCTTATTCTGCAGCCTTGCTTTTCCTCTGCCCTCAAGGGAAAGTCTGCATTCTCCTCCTTGAGAAAAAAACTCCCAGTCTAACGGACAAGACAAAGAAATATTTAATCAAATTAGTTTAGGAAATCCTGGCAGAAACAATGCATCTTTTCACCAGTTTAAAGTGTTATGAACAGACAGAACATATTGTGTGTTGAGTCTGTCTCCACACACTCCAGGGTGAGAAATGCTGTTTGTCTTAGACACTGCTTTCCCTCCAGAGTTCAAAAGAATCATGGTCCTTTGCCAAACTTCTTCTACACTACTTCAGAAAATGGTCTATTAAAAAAAGTCATTGGGAACATTCTTAGTAGTAATGGTGAGGATGAAGAAGCCGTCTGTTCTCAAAGTATCTGTCATTCCTAAGCTTTCACCAATGTCTTAGCCAGCTTGGGATGCTATAACAAAACACCAGAGATGAGATGCTTAACAACAACAGAAATAGATTTATCACAGTTCTAGAGGCTGGAAGACTGAGATCAGTGTCCCCAAATGGTTAGGGTCCAGTGAGGTCCTGCTTCTGGGAAGAACCAATAAAGAACCAAAGGCCTATGCATAGTTTAGGCATATTTTTAGTAGTCCTTAAAGGGTAAACACTTGGTACTCACGCTTCGTGGGTCCAGTTTCTATTGTTTTTTATAAAGACATGTATTTCTTCTGGAGGCAGTTTTAATCACTCTCTATCCAAGATAGTTTAAAAGTGTTAATTTTATTGTATACTGCTCTACCACTTCTCAAAGCATAAACAGCAAAAGACAACAGATGAAAGAGTACTAAAGTTGGTTCTGACATTGTTTTCTGATACCCTGGCCTCCCTAAGAGCCTTCATCTGGTGAAAGACTAAAGGTGACAGACAGCAATTTAAACACAGACCATAGATTACCCAGTCAGGAACCTGTAGCACGAAAATTACCTTAGTCATCTCATCAGCATCTAATGACATCCTCAGTCTCAGTCAGTGATGTTCTGTTTCAAAATATTGTTTGTCTCATGAAACCAACCAACATAAAGGTAAATAAACATGTCATAATTTAAGTAAAAAATAAAAAAGGTTTTATACGTGAGTAAGATTTGATTTAACATTACAATTTCTTTGCTTTGGGGTGGTAGGAATAGCTCATTAAATTTCTTTGAAAAGTCCCCAACTATGACAATTTTATGATAAAGCTGAACCTTTGAATTGCATGAACCAGTTTGCTTATGTGACTCAGTGCAAATGTGGCATGTCGGTGACTGAATGGTATGTTGGGTCTGAATGGTCCCTCTGCTCTTCACAATCAACTTCTTGAGGACAGTGAGCAGCAGACAGCTTAACTCATGCATATTTGACCTGGTGCAAACTTTTACAGAGGAGCCTCAATAGAGATGTCTGGGAGGAACTTTGCCAGCCAGTCATAGCTCAGTATATCTCAACCTGGCAAGTCACGCTCTTCTACTGAGGAACTGCACAATCTGCTACAGCCTCTTCCATTGTCCTGTACAGTAAAATGTCCCAAATGAATGAAATACTCACCAAGTCGAAGCCATTTTTAACCAGAAAGAAGAGAATACTAAGCAAACATTCCAGGTACCAACAACTTAACAAGTGATCCTACTTGTAGGAAATACTTTGCTTGCTTTGTTTTGGGGGGATGAAGCTCATTGATAAGTTACAAGGAAATATAATTGATTTCTTAAATATACAAATATGTTTGTTGCAAAATGCTCCTTCTACACAGTAATCTTCTCAGATCACTCAATATTCTGTACTTTCCTTTAACACTTGGTACTGGAAAAGAACTCTGTGTGTTTTTCTCTGAATCTTACAGAAACTGAAGTTGCACAAGGGGATATACAAGCCCTCCCCTAGAGAAGAGATCTGTCCTGCTTAACATTCCACTTAAAGGGGATCCCTGACAAAACCAAGGGTATCACCTGACTTATTTAACCAGTGAAAGAGGTAAGCAATTTCCCCCTAGTCTGAAGGTAAAATGCTCACTATGCACAGGATTGTTCCAAAAAGACACATTTCCGGGGGAGGAACACCAGCAGAAGTCCCCGAACCACAGTCCTCTTCCCTCCCTGGTTCTGCCTCTAGCGTAACTGACTTCAAGCAAATGTGGACAGAGCCATCACTTAACCAGTGAATCCACCCATGAACCCTTTGCAAACACCTGCCTATAGATCCCAAGGTAAACACATTGGCTTAGACCTGGTGGAAAGACCAGATAGCCCTGGTCAGTGGGGCTTTGGCTATTTTAGACAGGAGATTTATGATTCGGGGAGCCCAGGGAGTAGACTACAGGAGGGTGCTGGCTCTGTGTACCACAGACTTCTCACCCTGTGAAAAGGAACACACCCAGTTAGAGTCAGCCAGAACAGAGGCCCTCTAAAGCACAGTGCCCGTACCAGCTTTCTACTGGAGTCTCAGGGTAGTGCTGGCTATGGGTAGATCTCAGAATGGGGTCTGTAATGGAGTCTGCACAGCTTCATTTGTAGATGGCGAGACTTTGGACCACAGCATCGTCAAGTTCCTCTACAGACCTGACCAATACTACAGGATTCTAAGATCCAGTGTGTCTCAGTGGTGGTGACTCAAACACTGGACAAAGATAATATAAAAGAAAAAAATACACAAAAATGTAAACGAGTTGCAAGGTCTTCAATCTGAACTGCTCTAGTTCAGGAGATGAACAATTAGATTTTCTGGTTAATGAATGATCTGAATTAGTAGGACTAATAGATTTATCTTTGACAGATGATTAATCAGAGTATAATAATACCTTTAATGTTGACACTACAATTAACATGAACACAGGAAAGAATCAAAACATTTCTGGTATACCAACCATCGTGAATAATATATACCAGAATGATGTATAATCAACATGTAATTGATGATGGGCATGGGGATAAGCTGGGTAGGTCCAAGGAATTAAGTGAACAATTATCACAACAGTTAAAATTTCAAACACCATCTTTGTGGACTGTACAACCTCTTCTAAGTGCTTTGATTTTATTGATTTTCCTCCTGATAAATTTTGATGTAAGCAGTTGAAACCAACCTCTCCTGAAGCTCATGGCTGGTTGTCACAAGGTATGGCAGGCCTACATATGGAAAAGCATCATACCACAAACATGGAAATTCTATTCACAATAAATAGCACCGACCTGTCCTTTCATATCTGGAGCAATGGGGATGGTGGGCCAGATGGTGGAGTAGACGCCAAAGAACACCAGCCAGATCAGCATGCTTCCCCAGACAGCCAGGTGACTGAACTGCACAAGAAAACACAGTCAGGTAAGAGGTTTTCTGCTGGTTTCGGGAAGGGTCCTGAGCACACCTGCTAGCTAATCTCTAGCCAAGCTACTTTTCTTTATGGAAAGATTTAAATAACCCACCAATCATTAGTGTTGAACCCTTCCAATGTGGTTGTCTCTGAGTGATTAACAATGAACTAAGTAAGCAGTGGCCACAAATTACCCCCAAATTACCCCAAAAGTAAAAGTACATTTTCTACCAGAGCTGATTTTCCTTTAGACCTATCCCATAGCTTTAGCAGGTCCCTCTTGGGTTCTCTGTGGTGTTTGCTCCAACTTGGAACTATAGTTAAGTGGGTCCTGTTAACCTTGTAAGACAGTGTTGAAGAGACAAGACAGAATATTTGTATTGATCATGTTGAGACTTCCACTGTTCTTCTCATTTTTCAAAGATCTTTTAAAAAGTCTGGAATGGATATTACATCTGAACATCAGTCATTTAAGCATCTATCGAGTTAATTTTTAGTCCTTTTGTCCAATAATATGATGACACTTGACTTCTTCCTTTCATCCACATTTGATCTAATCTACCAGCAAGCTCTGGCAGCTTTTAAAAAAGAAAACAAGCATCCAGAATCTGGCTACTTCTCATTAAGTCTTCCTCTAATCTCCTAGGATAAGCCACCATCCATTGAAACCTGGATTAAAAGCCAGTGTCTCCTAATGACCTTCCTGCTTCCATTCTTATTTCCCAAATCCACCACCATTTTCTAAACACATATTAGCTGAGCATAGTTCTGTGGTCAACAAACCACAGTGACAAAAAAAATCATTGGTTATGATACCCAATGGTGAAAAATAACTCAAAATGTCTAAAATTGGGGACTGATAAATAAGTAATGAGCAATCAATAACACTTTAATCATGAACAATTATGATGTTTTAGAATTATGTCTTAAGATATGGAAAATGGTTATATTTTATGTGAAAAATAAGATCTAAAATTATATATTCTTGAGAGTGTTATTAAAGTCTAAAAGGTAATACAGCAAAGTACAAACAAAGACTCTCTTAAAGAAACCTTTATGGAAATTAACAATTTGCCTTTTTGTCTTTCTGTACAGGCATATAGATACATACACACAAAAATACAATTCTGTATAGAGCATAAACATTTGAAATGAGATGACTGTTAATGGCTTTAAAGTTGTACTAAATTCTAAGCAAATTAACTTTGAATTGCAAATTTGCCCTCATAAAGATTAAACCACAATTTTTGCATATAAAATTTAAAATAAGATGAACAGACAACAAAGAAAAGAAAAAATAAAAAAAATAGGAGACAAAAAAATAAGTGTATGAATGAAACTTACTTTAGTCCAAGCTGTAGTCTCTAAACCAGCCTTGAGACAAACAGTCACAACAACATACTGCGAAGAGAAAGAAGATTTGGGGGAACATATTACCTTCAGGGAGTTATTTTCACTTTCCATAAGACATCCCAAACTCCCCCTTCAGAGGTAGTTGTCCACAGGCAGCTATAATTTGAAAGTGCCATCTTGGTGCTAATTTCCAGACATTACTTTTAAGGAAATACAGTCAGTTTTACTTTAAGAAAAGCCTTCATTCTAGTGATTGTCTCCTCATAAATACTAGTTACTCTTGCTCTTTATTTTTTAGCTCAGAAGACTTGGGAGATTCCTTGATATTGTTTCTTTTACAGGAAGATGGGAAATGGTCATTTCAAGAACAAGGAATCTTTTAATCACATGTAGAGAAACCTTATCTCTGAATAGTCACACACACACACACAAAGAGGTAAGCATTTCTCAACCATTCTGACCTCTAAGGAATCTGTAATATAAAGTTTAATGATGTGAAAAAAATAGTTAAGTTAAAGGCCCTATTTAAAGGGGTTGGAAAGGTGTACCCCACATATCATTTTAAGAATGATTCAGCAGAGATAAACTTACCGTGTAAACAATATTTCCAACAAATAAATAGTCTGTGGCATGACCATTGGATAACACAGTATCTGAAAAATGAAGATGTTACCATTTATTTTCAAAACAGAACACTGCAATGTTTCAGTCCAAATCCAAAAAAAAAGAACTTTAATGTAATATTTTTAAGTTGTATTATCTGTGACTTTTATGCTTCTTTCTAACTCTGAATTTTTTCATCTTCTATTTCCTTCAAACATAACCAGTTTCCAACAAATCAAACAATCAAACACTTGATCCACACTGAAATATACATTTTTTTAAAAAATTAATATCAGTTTCTGTTGGGTTAAAAATGTAAAAGAATAAGAACATATTAATATACCTTTATTAATGCCAGTATTAGATATTTCCCAAGTGCTCATTTGCTATTCATCTTTAATTTTTGCTAAACTGGAGCTATAAGCCAATTAAAGAATACAAAATCACAAATACAAAAAAAAGAAAATCTAAAAACATTATAATACCAGTTCATTATTACTGAACTCTTAATTTTGTAGGTTATTTACTCCTCCAGTTCTTATATACAACTACATGAACTTGTGGAGTCCATAAATTGGAGAAAAACAAGAAATCCAATGAGAAAATCCAGAAAATAGAATTTTCAAGTTTCAATTTTCATGTATTTTTTGCTTTTTCTTTTTAATGATACCTGCTGCAATATACATACCATCACTAAGATAGAACTGATTCATATCTACTAGCCTGCTGTGGAAAGTCCAGCTTTTATCCTGAGAGGTCAAGCCCGTCTTAAGATCAGGAATGGGTTTTCTTTTCTTTTCTTTTTCTTTCTTTATTATTATTATTTTTTAATTTAATACTGTCATTCTCCTTTTTCTCTTTTCTACATAATTTCAGATTTGTGGCCAACAGGCTAATAGCTGATATATACACACACACGTTGGGGGTCATCATTTTACTTACTATCTGATTGTTGAGAAATCTGACTCTTGTAAAGAATTGAGATGTGTTTAGTTTTTTCAAACACCATAATTAAGTTTTATCACTATCACAGGTAGAACCTAATAGATGTAAGTCCCTGAACCCAGCTCCTCAATATACCCTTTCTTCTGATTCTATATTAATAAATTTGTGGGTAAGAAAATATTAATTCACAAAGTGATCTCACAGGCTGCATTAGGTACAGACTTAAACTATGAAATTGCTACAGGAAATTTAAGCATTTTCCTCTGAGAACAGAGATATGACCACTGATTTTAAAAGGAATGAACTCAAAACTTTGGGGAGAGCTGGTAAAAAAAAGTTCTCATGGTTATGTAGGTTTTACTGAAAGGGAAGGAAAGGGAAAAGTTTAAAAAGTAACACAAAGAAGCAACAATTTTTTAGCAACAATTCATAAATAACATGCTATTCAAAACTGTGGGCCCCATTTTTTAAGTAACTGGCCTTTAGCTTGTTTTAATAATAAATGCAATACTTTAAAAGGCATGCCTCAAATAAGAAACACTTACGATGAGACAAGTCTATAATAGATTATATTGACAGGGGTAAAATTATTATTTTCATTAACACAGCAAAGATTGACGTCTACTTTATACCAGATACCACTGTGAAACTAGGGAGGCAGAGACCCGGGTTTTCATAGAGCTCACATTATAGTGATGAAGACAGAACATAAATACACTAATAGATATACAATAAGATGTCTGGTACATCTTATAGTACAACGAAGAAGTACAAAGTAGGGGAGTGAAATAAAAGGTGACTATTTCACTCTGTATTTTAGATGGGGAGTTCAGGAAAAAAAAATATTTTGAGGCAGTCACAGTTGAGAGATCTGAATAGTATGAGGGAGTAAGTAAGTGAGTTATCTAGGGGAAAAGTGTTTGTTTCAGGCAGAGTGTAGAGAAATTGCCAGTGGCCTAAATATAGAAAGCAGTGATGAGCTCAAAGATAAGAGTGATCAGTTTGCCCGGAGACATCAGGAGAAGGAAAATTAAAGTAAATTATCATACAGAGGAGGCAAATTAATGTAAGCCATGGTAAGGAGTCTGAATTTCTTGGTTGACATAAGAAGTCATTGGGTATTCTGAACAGAAAATGACCTGTTATAACTTATACTCTTAAAGGAAGAGACCAGATTTTTCTGGGAGAATTTGTCTTAGATGACCAAGAATAGAAGTTTGGAAATGACTAATGATTCATCCAGAATGGTGATTGTGGTGACATGTAGAGCTATGTGCAATATGAAATAAAAATTCAGTTCTTACTAGAGGATGGAGAATAAGGAACTATTTCTTAATGTGTATAGAATTTCAGTTTGGCTTATTAAAAAAATGGAATAGATAATGGTGATGGTTGCACACCATTCTGAATGCAATTAATGCTTCTGAATTGTATTCTTAAAATGGCTGAAATGCCAACCTTTATGTTATAAATATTTTAACTCAAAAAATTACCAAAAAATGGATTATAGGAAAAAACCTATAAACGCAAAGGATAAAATGTTAAGAGTAAATTAAGATTCACTCTTTGATTTGAAATGGTTTTTAAAATATGACAACAAAAAATAGATAAATTGGACCTCATTAAAATTAGAAACAACCTATAGCATGGAGAAATCATTTGCAAATATGTATGTGATAAGGAACTTGTATCCAGAACATAAGAGAAATTTTAAAACTCAGCAATAAAAGACAACCCATTGAGGAAAAGATCTGGATAGATATTTTTCCAAAGGAAATATATAACTGTCAATACGCATGAAGATAGTTGCTCAGTATCTTTAGCTAATAAGAAAATACAAGATCAAAATCATGAGATACCACTTAACATGCATTAAGATAGCTATAAGTAGATAAAAACAAGAAATTAAAACCCTCATACATTGTTAATGGGAGTAAAATAGCACAGCCACTTTGGAAGCTGTCAGGTAACTTCTTTAAATGTTATACCTAGTTACAGTATGACCCAGCAATTCTACTCCTAGAGACATAATCAACAGACATGAAAACATATGAAAAATACAAAAATTTGTACATCAATGTTTACAGAAGCATTCTTCATAATAGCCCATGTTCATTAAATAGTGAATAGATAGAATGTGGCATAGTCATACAACAGAATATCATTCAACAGTGACTGGAATGAACTGTGATCCATGCTACATTGTGGATGAATCTTGGAAAAACCTGTGTTACATGGAAGAAGCCAGTTATAGAGAACATATATTGTGTGATTTCATTTATATGAAATGTCCAGGTTAGGCAATTCTATAGAGCTTGAAAGTAGATTAGTAATTGACAGAAGTTGAGGTTGTTTGAGGCAGGGATGGAGAAGAATAGGGTGTGATTGCTGTTAAGTATATGGGGAGTTCTTTTAGAAGTGAAGAAAATGTTAGAAAATTAATTAAAGTAACAATTATAGAAATGTACTAAAACCGGCCCTCCCTGGTGGCGCAGCGGGTTAAAGCACAGCACTGAGAATCTAAAGCCACTTCCTCATGAGTTTGATTCCCGCCTGCCCCGGAGGTGACCACATGGCGTGGCAGACCTCTCCTGACCCGCCCGCTGCTCCCCTCAGCAGTGTACTTTGTCCATCTGCCTGTTCTGCTCCCCACTCTGTCTCTGGTGAAGCCTCTCACCGCCCCTGAGCCTCTGGCCTGTACCCCAGTTCTGTATGCACAAATAAATAAATCTTTAAAAAAAAAAATTAAAAAAATAAAAAAAGAAATGTACTAAAACCACAGAATTGTACACTTACTGTGGGTAACTCATACGGCATGTAAATTACATATCAAGAAAGTTGTTATTTAAAATATTCAACTCCTTAGGCATGTTTTACTGCTCAATGACTACATGTAGTAGAGACTCATATTCTAGGCAGCATAGACATAAAACATCCCATCACCACATAGAAAGTTCTACTGGACAAATGTTGGAGGTGATCAGAAGTGACGGAAATTGACATATTTTTTGAATGTACAGATGACAGGATTTATTTGTCATTTAGATGTGGGGATGGAGTAGCATGTAAGGACTTAAGAGTGATATCCAGGCTTTTGGCCTACCTAGGTGAATGATGGTGTAATTAACTTGAAATCAGAAACTTTGGTCCTGGCCATGTTCATAGAGCACCACAGAAAAACAGAGGAGCATGTGAATACTTGGTACCAAATGGCCAAACTTTATTTCATTATTGTATTCTTAAATTGAGGTAACATTGGTTTATTGATTGATTGATTGATTTTTGTATTTTGGAAAATACAAAATATATTCCTGTGCTGCTTCCACAGTAATCCCACCACCAAAGCATCCAGAGTCCTCCACCACAGAGTCCACTGTGTTCCCTTCCCACTTTGTGCTCACCGAATTCTCTTTTGCACCAACTGATAAGACTTTTAAATTCACAATAGGAATAGATAGGAAGGAAGCCAGGTGCTAAGAACAGAAGGATGCTTCGGAAAGTGAGGTGGAGCAAAGGAGATGGGTTAGTAGAAAGAATAAAAGAACTTATTCCACATTCTGAGTGTCAGTTCCTATATCTGTAAAATGTGTCTTTATAGCAGACAGATGATGATCACTAAAGTTCGTTTCAGACAGAAAAACTAAGAATCTAAGGTCCATTTCTTAGCTACCTATCTGTTAAAAACAGATTTTGTAAGGGTAGAGACTCCATGTCTCAGGTTTTCTTCTTTTACCAGTTAGTTTAAGATGTGTTTCCTAGTCTCAGTTTCATTCTATGTGTTCATGAATGCAGAATAGACATTTAAATTGAGAAGAGTAATGATCTCAGTTCCTTTAGGTTCTAGTTGAATTAAGCCCTCACAGAATCTAGAGAAAACAGATCAGATGAAAGTTAAAAGTAGTAAGTTGAAAATCAAAGTTTATAACTAGGGCTTGACAACTTTTTGAATTTCCTTTTAATATCAGTATTTCAAATTTTGGATTTTTCAAGTACTACACAAATTAAATATACAAACATTTGTTTAATGTGGAGGGTTTAGAAATGTATTATATTTCATGGATATACACAAAATAAAGAGAAAATTGTTAGGCATACTAGGAAAGCC